GAGATCGCGCCATTGCACTCCAGCCTGGGTAACAAGAGTGAAACTCCGTCTCAAAAAAAAAAAAAAATGGTTATTCAATATTAACAGGTATTACATGGAGAAAGTATTTATGGTCAACTAGGGTTGGCAACTTTTTGAGGTGAACCCAGTCTCACCAAGCTCCTTGTAGCACAGTGATGTCGCTGTCAATCTCCATGAACGGGCTAAGTGTGTTTTTGTCCCAACTTGTATACCCAGGTGGTGGATTTGCTGAAAGCCGCACCTGGGACCAGCTGTCAAGCAGAAAACACAGCTTCTCATGTTCATAGCGACCTCTCAGAGCCACCAAGCTGGCCGTTGTTTCATCATCAGCCTAAACTAAATTCAGAAATGCTGAATGTTCATACACTGGAAGACCGTAAGACAGTGGGGGTGGGCAGGAACTGTCGCCTGCTGCCAACAGAGCTCCTGGAACTGTGGTCTCTGATGTGCTCCTGCCTTGGTCACTGGCATAGGCGTGACAGCAAAATAGTTTTTTTTTGTGGTGTGTTTTATGGTTATTATTAATATTATTATGATTGAGATGGTGTTTCAGGCTTTTTGCCCAGGCTGGAGTGCAATGGCACAATCTGAGCTCACTGCAACCTCCTACTCCCGGGTTCAAGGGATTCTCCTGCCTCAGCCTCCCAAGTAGCTGGGATTACAGGTGTACACACCACCACGCCTGGCTAATTTTGTATTTTTAGTAGAGATGAGGTTTCCCCATGTTGGCCAGGCTGGTCTCGAACTCCTGACCTCAGGTGATCCACCTGCCTCGGCCTCTCAAAGTGCGGGGATAACAAGCGTGAGCTACTCTGCCCAGCTGACAGCAAAATAGTTTAAATGGTGAGCAGGGAAGTGTCGCATGTGGGTGCCTGCACTTCTTTCCCAGTTTGAGAGCAAATCCAGCCTCCTTCCTTGAGCCTTACATCACTCTATGGGGATGGAGCTTGTCCAAAGTAACCTTTCATGATGAACCATCAAGGACCCTTCAGGGTCTAGTCAAGGCCATTGCCTCTCATTTCTTCCTTGTCCATGTATGGCAGAATATGTTTCCATTCACTCATCACCTCCTGTGTGCCAGGAACAAGATGGGGTCCCATATACAATTCTACAAAAGCAGTTTGGTAACAGCTGTCAGATGAGGATGTTTGTGTAATGTTGATAATGATTTTATGTTCTGGTAACATCGTCTGCCTTGTTTGACGATGTGTTGTTTTCATCTATGGACATGTTTGGTTTGGTGGCCATCTTGGATGTCCAGTTTCTGTTGACGGTTTTTTGTGGTTTTTGTTTGTTTGTTTGTTTTTGAGATGGAGTCTCACTCTGTCACCCAGGCTGGAGTGCTCTTGGCTCACTCTAACCTTCACCTCCCAGGCTCAAGCAGCTCTCCTCCCTCAGCCTCCTGAGTAGCTGGGATTACAGGCATGTGCCACTACACACAGCTCATTTTTTGTATTTTTAGCATAGATGGGGTTTCACCATGGTGACCAGGCTGGTCTCAAACTTCTGACCTTAAATGATTCACCTGCCTCGGCATCCCAAAATGCTGGGATTACAGGTGTGAGTCACTGCACCCAGCCTGTCTATGTTGCTTTTGAATAATCCAACCCTGCTTCTAGTTTTTGGCCTGGTAGGAGGCATCGGCTGAATCCCTCCTAGTTCTCAAGCCTCATAGCATGATGTAGTTAGTAACACTTCTTGTATGTGACCAGCATTGCTGTGAGATGAGAGGTCGTTGTTTCACCATCACCCTAAACTGAATTCAGAAATGCTGGGTGTTCATACCCCGGAAGACAGCTCGAATTATGGGTGAAGAGGTGTCGGTATGCTTTACTATGAACCTTGTTGGCTGGTTTCCCCAGAGTGCGTCAGGCCAACAAGCTAGTGATATCGTGTGCCCAGCTACAGTGCGAAGGACACCGCAATGGCTTCACTATTGTCACTTTCCATTCCTTACTTCACCTCCAGAAAATGCGGAGCATTGCTCCAGGTGACTCAGTAAAATCTCAGCCACAGTCTACAAGGTAGAGCTCATCTCAGGTTGGGCTATGGTTTTCCTTGACTCTGGGCATGTCCTTTTGTTGATCTAAATGGTTTATATGTGTGTCTGTTCCTTGGAAGTCCTGTTTATCTTGATTAGTTATTGTTAAGCTCCAAGAATACCACTATCCTAAAAATATGACTGTCCTATGACATAGAGTATTTGGTTCTTAGTTAGGGATTCTTCAAATCAGATTGTGGACAGGATGCAAAGTTATAAGAGGAAAAAATTGCACTCATAAAGTCAAAATTTAAGGCTGTATTCATTTACCTTCCAAAGCAGCAGGAGAGTTTTGACCGAACTGATATGATTTTGAGCCTGAATCGCTTGTTTACATGGCCCAAGGATGTCAGAAGAGGCTCGTTCTGTACCCGTGATTGCTGGATAAACTACACTCAACAGGACTCTGTTTGCTTATCTATAAAATGAGCCATATCTAGCTGGCACAGGTGCTGGGAAGGCAGCCAAGTGACCCAGTGTTCCCAATCTAAGGAGAAGAGTGATGGCATGAGGTGGAGGAGGAGCTGGGGGGAGTAGGAGGTTGGCTAATACTACGAGTATACACGATATTGAGAGTATTTTAAGGTGGCTCAGGCCATACCAACAAACACGTTTATGCCTTTGTTTTCACTCAGTATCTTCCTTGACCTCCATCCTCACAGCCGAGTCTTACCCATCTTTCAAGGACAGTGCAAATGCCATCTCTCACCGAGGAGGCCTTTTCCAGACACAGCACGTCTCTTCCTCCCTTGAAATCCCACAGAAAGGTCAGGCGTGATGACTTACACCTGTAATCTCAGCACTTTGGGAGGCAGAGGCAGGAGTATCACTTGAGTCGGATACCAGCCTGGGCAATACAGTGAAACTCCATCTGTACAAAAAATACCAAAGGCTGAGTGCCGTGGCTCATGCCTATAATCACATCACAGCACTTTGGGAGGCTGAGGTGGGTGGATCACCTGAGGTCAGGAGTTTGAGACCAGCCTGGCAAACATGGTGAAACCCGTCTCTAATAAAAATACACAAAACTTAGTCGAGCTTCGTGGTGCATACCTGCAATCCCAGCTACGCAGGAGACTGAGGCAGGAGAATTGCTTGAACCTGGGAGGCAGAGGTTGCAGTGAGCAGAGATCTTGCCACTACACTCCAGCCTGGGTGACAGAGCAAGACTCTGTCTAAAACATAAATAAATAAATACCACAGAAAGTGATGTCTAGTTCGTTGACACTTGTCAGTTTATACCTTTATTCTAGTGTTGTTATTTATCCACACAAGTTCTTCCATCACCACAGGCTGGAGTGCAGTGGTGCAATCTCAGCTCACTGCAACCTCTGACTCCCGGGTTCAAGTGATATTCCTACCTCAACCTTCTGAGTAGCTAGGATTACAGGCACATGCCACCACACCTGACTAATTTTTTTTTTTTTTTTTTTTTTTTTTTTTTTTTTTGTATTTTTAGTAGAGATGGGTTTTCACCATGTTGGCCAGGTTGGTCTTGAACTCCAGACCTCAAGTGATCTTCCTGCCTTGGCCTCCTAAAGTGCTGGGATTACAAGCATGAGCCACTGTGCCCAGCCTTAAATGTACCTTTTTGTTAGTCGGGGCTCTCCAGAGAAACAGAATCAATAAGAGATATCTCTATATCTATCTCTCTATTTGAAAGTGAGAGATTTATTCTAAGGAATTGACTCGTGATTCTGGGGGCTAATGAGTCTGGAATCTACAGTGCAAGCAGCAGGCTGGAGACGTAAGGCTGAGTTTATGTTGCAGCTCAAGTTCAAAAGTAGTCTACTGACAGACTTCCCTTTTCTTCATAGAACCTCAGTCTTTTTCTCTTAAAACCTTCAGCTGACTGGATGGCATCCACGGCCATTATGCAGGGTAATCTGCTTACCTAGTATTTGTTGAATTAAGTGTTAATCTTATCTACAAAATACCTGGTCTGCCCACAAACACATGGGCAGAGACTTTGGGGTTTGTGGTGTTTAGAGCATGGCCTGGGAAGGTTGATGAGCTCCTGGAGAACACAGACCCACAGACTCCTCCTGACGGGAGGGCCTAGGCAGAGCAGGGCCCTTTACAATGCAGGGAAGGGGGCCGGGGTTCTTCTTGCTAAGCTCCAGGAATGGGGCACAGTCGCACCAGCTTCTCTTGTTGGGCATAAGAACCTGAGATTCCGAGAGCTTCAGTGACATGCCTCAGGGACTTAGCTCATTCGGCTCAGAACAAGCACCACCACTGCCGTTTTTACTGGTTAAGAATAGTTGAACATCACTAGGCACGGTGGCGCGTGCCAGTAGTCCCAGCTACTCGGGAGGCTGAGGCTGGAGGATCGCTTGAGCCCAGGAGTTCTGGGCTGTCATGTGCTATGCCGAAGTGGTGTCCGCACTAAGTTCGGCATCAATATGGTGGCCTCCCGGGAGTGGGGGACCACCAGGTTGCCTAAGGAGGGGTGAACCGGCCCAGGTCAGAAACGGAGCAGGTCAAAACTCCCGTGCTGATCAGTAGTGGGATCACACCTGTGAATAGCCACTGCACTCCAGCCTGGGCAACATAGTGAGATGCCGTCCCTAAAAAAAAAAAAAAATTGAACATTGGCAAATGTACATGGTTCAACATAGTACAGAAATATTGTACTTAATGCTAAGTGTATTTTTATTATAAATATAAGCCAATCTTTCAGTAAGCTCCCTGAGAAAACAAAAACCAAATCTTGACAAAAGTAGACCGAAGATGAAATGTAATTATTTTGTAATCTGTCTTGGGGCTTAGTAAATGAAAAAATAACTTTGCACCAATAGAGATGTGGTCAGGAACATGGAAACACAACTTCTGACTTAGTTTAAACTCCCACTTCTTACTTTTTCTGGTCTTGGTGGTTTTTCTTTGTTTTGTTTTTTTATTTTTATTTTTTTGTTGTTGTTGTTTGTTTTGAGACAGAGTCTTGCTCTGTCATCCAGGCTGGAATGCAGTGGTGTGATCTCGGCTCACGGCAGCCTCCGCCTCCCGTGTTAAAGAAATTCTCCTGCTTCAGCCTCCCAAGTAGCTGGGAGTACGGGCACATGCCACCATGCCTGGCTAATTTTTGTATTTTTAGTAGAGATGGGTTTCGCTATGTTGGCCAGGCTGGTCTCAAACTCCTGACCTCAGGTGGTCCGCCCGCCTCGGCCTCCCAAAGTGCTAGGATTACAGGTGTGAGCCACTGTGCCGGGCCTGGTCTTGATGGGTTTTAAGGCTTTGGTTGGGGCCACACACATGGATTTTGTTTAAGTGGTTGGAATGCCTGGGCTGCAAAGAAACAAGGAGTAAGATGGTAGTTGTAATTATATTGGGGTAAAAGAAACTAATATTTTACAAATTATTTTAGAATGCATTATTTCAACAATCTTGATAAATCTATGAGGTCGAGAGGGTAGATGTGATTTCCACCCAGTTTTTCAACCAGGGAGAAAGTAACTAACATTTATTGTGTGTGAGGATTACATGACATACATGTAACATGTAACATGTATGTCATTTAGTCCTCAAAGCCACACCAGTGTGGCTACTGTGTCCCTCATTTTACAGATGAAATTATAAAACTTGGGCCTGGTGCAGTGGCTCACGCCTGTAATCCTAGCACGTTGGGAGGCCAAGGTGGGTGGATCACCTGAGGTCAGGAGTTCAAGACCAGCCTGGCCATCATGATGAAGCCCCATCTCTACTAATACAAAATACAAAAATTAGTCAGGTATGGTGGTGCATGCGTGTAATCCCAGCTACTNGTAGAGACGGGGTTTCACCGTGTTGACCAGGATGGTCTTGATCTCTTGACCTCGTGATCCACCCGCCTCGGCCTCCCAAAGTGCTGGGATTACAGGCGTGAGCCACCGCACCCGGCCTTTTTTTTTTAATTTTTATTTTTGAAAGGGAGTCTCACTCTGTCCTCTGTCACCTGGGCTGGAGTGCAGTGGTGTGATCTCAGCTCACTGCAGCTTCCACCTTCTACGGTTCAAGTGATTCTCCTGCCTCAGCCTCCCAAGTAGCTGGGATTACAGGTGCACGCCACCACACCTGGTTAATTTTCTTATTTTTAGTGGAGACAGGGTTTCACTATGTTAGCTGGGGTGGTCTCAAACTCCTGACCTCAAGTGATCCACCTGACTCAGCCTCCCAAAGTGCTGGGATTATAGGCATGAGCCACCATGACCAACGTCTTTATTTATTTATTTTAATATCAGTTTACACCATCTTATTTAGGAAGCCTAAAATGTCTCCTCTGCATAAATACTTCCCAGTTACCTTAGCTCAAATGATCTTTCTCCTTTCAGTGTACATTTATATTCAAACAACTCTTTAAAAAAAAGAAACAAATGATTGAATAAAGAAAGATTTCCCTTAGTCAAAGGAATGAAACAAACAATTTAACAAAGAAAGATTTCCCTTAGTCACGGAGATTGTTAAATGATAAAATTTAGTCCTAGTTTCTTCCATTTTTCATCCTCATGCAAAGAAACATTGGCATATTTGTGTGCATGTGTTTGTGTGTGACTGTACAGGGATGTGTGTGTGTGTAGAGCATGTGGTTAGGGGTGTAGGGATGGTATTTGTATGTGTGTAGGTGTATGGTATTTTGTGTGCAAATACAGGTATGTGTGCAGAGCTGTGTGTATGGAGTGTGTGTACAGGGATCTATATGCACACAGGTGTGTGTAGGATACCTTTGTGGGTAAGTGGGTGTGTGTGTGCACAGGGCTGTGTTGTAAGGTGTTTATGTGTGTATGTGGAGTGTTGGCATGCAAGGATGTATGTGAGAGGCATTATATGCATGTATATAGGTTTGAGTGCATGCAGATACCAGTGTGTGTGTGTGTGTGTGTGTGTGTGTGTGTGTGTAGGGATGTGTGTGTGTGTGTGTGTGTATGTGTATGTGTGTGTATAGGGAGTGTAATGTCTGGGAAGGAAGTTTTGAAAAGTGGGCCAGCCAGATCACCTGAGGTCAGCAGTTCAAGACCAGCCTGGCCAACATGGTGAAACCCTCATCTCTTTTTGTTTTGCTTTGTTTTGTTTTTTATAGAGATGGGGTTTCACTATGTTGGCCAGGCTGGCCTCGAACTCCTGACTTCGTGATCCACCCATCTCAGCCCCCCAAAGTGCTGGGATTACAGGTGTGAGCCACCACCCATCTCTACTAATAATACAAAACATTAGCTGGACGTGGTGGTGCATGCCTGTAGTCCCAGCTACTTGGGAGGCTGAGGCAGGAGATTCACTTGAACCAAGGAGGTGGAGGTTGCAGTGAGCTGTGATTGTGCATTGCACTCCAGCCTGGGTGACAGGAGCAAACTTCTGTCTCCAAAAAGACCAAAAAAAAAAAAAGAAAGAAAGAAAAATGGGCCAGTCATGGGGAGGGATTGAGATGAAATTAGAAAATAAAGGCTACAGGTGGGAAGCCAGATTATGCAGTCTTTGATACCAAGGCAAGGAATTGACATGCCATTTGATGAG